AGGCCCTCCTGCAGAATGTGCTCCCCAGAGGTCCACCTGGAGCCATCATTATATGCTTTTCGGCGCCAGGTCAAGAGCTTTTTATTTAATCAATATTTTAATATGTTTCAATGGGAATTGGATTTTATTGTTTGTATTTTATTAATTGCAGCCAGAATGGAATTGTCAATTTATCTATTTTATTTTGATCTATGTTGAAAGCTGTCCAGAGACACAAGTAATGGACGGCATATAAATTTTATAAATAATAAATAAATAAATATACAAAAATTAAAACCCTAGAGGTGCAACAGAATATTAAAAATATTTCCAAACAAAGAGAACACCAGCTATTTGCCAGTACAGAACCATAATAAATAAATAAATCTATTTACTTATTGATCCATTTCTGATAAACCAGCTAGGATTCAAACAGAACCCACGAGATATGCCAACATATCTGGTCACTATCCTAGCAAGCATATCTATGACCCAGAAGAGGTGAAGCTGGGTCTGAGTTCAAATATTTGCTAACTGTACCTTGATACATAAAAACATAGTAAGAGCCAGTCTGGATCAGTCCAAGGGTCCATCTTGACCAGCATTCTGTTTACACAGTGGCCAAATGGCATATGGGGAGACCTCAAGCAGGGCAGGAGAGCGACAGCACACTTTGCTCCTGTCCCAGCAAATGAAATATGTCACTATCCCTGACACAAGAAGCAACATTTTGTCACCAGGATTAATAGCTATTGACAACTATATCCTCATGGATTTATCCAATTCTTCTTTCAAACAGATGGTCACCACAACATCCCATGCAAGTGAATGTCATTGTTTAGTCATACAATCTGTAAAAGGAGTACTTCCTTCTTATTCTCTTATTTCCAACTAATTAGCCTCATGTGATGAACCTAGGTGCTAGCATTCGAACCAATGCATGTTGGTCTGGTGTGATGGTAGAGTTTGGACAGAGGAGCCAGAAGATTTGGGTTCCAGTCCCCACTCAGCCATGAAGCTCACTGACCAGTGACTTTAGGCTAGTCACACATTTTCAGTCCAACCTACCTCACAGGGTTGTTGTGAGGATAAAACTGAGCTTTGTAAACCACCCTGGACTCCTCATAAGAGAAAAAGGTAGGATATAAATGCAATGTAATAATGTTGCTGTTCTTGTTAGTCGCAAAGTCGTGTCTGACCCATCGCGATCCCATGGACAACATTCCTCCAGGCCTTCCTGTCCTCCACCAACCCCCGGAGTTCACTTAAGCTCACACCAACTGCTTCAGTGACTCCATCCAGCCACCTCATCCTCTGCCGCCCCCTTCTTCTTTTGCCATCTATTGTTCCCAGCATTAGGCTCTTCTCCAGGGAGTCCTTCCTTCTCATTAGGTGGCCAAAGTATTGGAGTTTCATCTTCAGTATCTGGTCTTCCAGATAGCAGTCAGGGTTGATCTCCTCTAGGACTGACCGGTTTGATCGCCTTGCAGTCCAAGGGACTTGCAGGAGTCTCCGCCAGTACCACAATTCAAAGGCCTCAATTCTTCGGCGCTCAGCCTTCCTTATGGTCCAACTTTCACAGCCATACATTGCAACTGGGAAAACCATAGCCTTGACTATATGCACTTTTGTTGGCAGGGTGATGTCTCTGCTTTTTGGTATGCAGTCTAGATTTGGCATAGCTTTCCTCCCCAGGACCAAGCGTCTTTTAATTTCTTGGCTGCAGTCCCCATCTGCGGTGATCTTGGAGCCCAGGAAAATAAAATCTCTCGTTACCTCTATTTCTTCCCCATCTATTTGCCAGGAAGTGAGAGGACCGGATGCCATGATCTTAGTTTTCTTAATGTTGAGTTTCAAGCCAACATTTGCACTCTCCTCCTTCACCCCCATCAAGAGGCTCTTTAGTTCCTCTTCACTTTCTGCTGTTAGGGTGGTATCATCTGCATATCTGAGGTTGTTGATATTTCTCCCAGCAATCTTAATTCCAACTGGTGATTCATCTAGACGTGCCTTTCTCATGATGTGCTCTGCATATACGTTAAATAGGCAGGGCGACAGTATACAGCCTTGCCGAACTCCTTTCTCAATTTTGAACCAATCAGTGGTTCCGTGCCCAATTCTCACTGTTGCTTCTTGACCCGCATATAGGTTTCTCAAGAGACAAATAAGATGGTCTGGTACTCCCATCTCTTTAAGAACTTGCCACAATTGGTTGTGATTCACACAATCAAAGACTTTAGCAAAGTCAATGAAGCAGAAGTAGATGTTTTTCTGGAACTCCCTAGCTTTCTCCATGATCCAGTGTTTGTTGGCAATTTGATCTCTAGTTCCTCTGCCTCTTCGAAATCCTGCCTGTACTTCTCGTAGTTCTCGGTCCACATACTGCTGGAGCCTAGCTTGTAGGATTTTGAGCATAACTTTGCTAGCATGTGAAATGAGTGCAATGGTGTGGTAGTTTGAACATTCTTTGGCATTGCCCTTCTTTGGGATCAGAATGTACACTGACCTTTTCCAATCCTGTGGCCACTGTTGAATTTTCCAAATTTGCTGGCATATTGAGTGTAGCACTTTTACTGCATTGTCTTTTAGGATTTTGAATAGCTCTGCTGGAATACTGTCACCTCCACTAGCTTTGTTATTGCTCAGACTTCCTAAGGCTCATTTGACTTCACATTCCAGGATGTCCGGCTCGAGCTCAGTGACCACCCCATCGTGGTTATCAGGGATGTTAAGCTCTTTCTTGTATAGTTCCTCTGTGTTATATTGCCACCTCTTCTTCATCTCTTCTGCCTCTGTTTGGTCCCTGCCATTTTGGTCCTTTATCTTGCCCATCTTTGCATGAAATGTTCATATCTCCAATTTTCTTGAAGAGTTCTCTGGTCCTCCCTATTCTATTGTTTTCTTCTATTTCTTTGCACTGTTCATTTAAGAAGGCATTCTTATCTCTTCTAGCTAGTCTCTCGAATTCTGCATTCAATTAGGTGTATCTTTCCTTTTCTCCCTTGCCTTTCACTTCCCTTCTTTCCTCAGCTATTTGCAAAGCTTTCTCAGACAGCCATTTTGCATTTCTTTTCCTTTGGGGTGGTTTTAGTTGCTACCTCTTGTATAATGTTGCAAGCCTCCGTCCATAGTTCTTCAAGCACTCTGTCAGATCTAATTCCTTAAATCTATTTGTCACCTGTACTGTATATAATGTAATAATGGGAGCCAAAACACTATCTACTTTTTCAATAACATACATAATTTTGTACACCTCAAGCATCTTTCCTCTCACTCACTTTTTGTTTAAGGCAAACAGTTCCAGGTGTTGTAAATTTTCTCCAGTCCCTTAACCATGTTAGGGTACAATCCTATGCATGTTTATACAGAAAAAATCTACAACTCTCATTTCCCTGGTAAGGGACATTTTTCTGTCTAAACACGCAGAAGACCATGACATTAATTGACCTTTCCTTCAACCTAAGCTGCAATCCTATGCATATCTAGAGATGAAAAAAGACCAACAACTCCCTACATTCCCCAGTCAGAACTTTTTCAGTCTAAATGTACACAGGGCTGCATCCTTGGAGCTGCCCTTTTCTTTGCATTTTCCAACTCTACAATATCCCTTTTTAGGTGTAGTGACCACTTAGTATTCCAAGTGTGGTTTCATTATATATTTGCATAATGTAAGTATGATCTTGGCAGTTGTATTCTCGATTCCTTTCCTAATACTGCCTAACATTTTCAGCTTTTCACAGCAGCTCCCATGTTTTCCCTCAGCCATCCACCACAAACCCAAAATTCCTTGCTTAAACAGTCACTGCTAAGTCAGATCCTCTCTATGCATATGTGACGTAGGGATTTTTTGCCCTAATGTGCATCACTTTACATTTTCATACACTGAACCACATTTGCCATTTTGATGCCCATTCTCTGAGTCTGGAAAGTTCCTTTTGAAGCTCCTCACAGTCTGAACACACATTACATTAAACGCTATAAAGCAGAAAAAATGACCAAGTAGGAAATTATTCTGACCATTGAAGGTTCCTACCACTCTGCCTTCCCAAGGCCAGGTGGGCCGAGGCACAGACAACATCTTCCCCTTGTCTGTATTTGCATAATTTGCAAACAGCTCTGGCACCCCTTGGAGGGGAACACAGGAAGGAGCTCTAAGCCAGGTCATGCCCTTTGCCCATCTAGCTCATATAACGCATTCTGACTAGCAGCAGCTCAGGCAGTGGTCCTTCCTTTCATCTGCTAGTAAAATCTTTGGAGAAACTTCAGAGGCTCTTCTGTATGCAAAGCATGAGTTCCGACATGGAGGTCTGTGCCTTTTCTCACATCATGCAGGGTGCCCACACAGGACAGGCTCCCCTGTTGCAGCAGTGAAGATGGCACAAGGCAGCAGAACATTGGCACCTGGCACCAACACTGCCATCTATTCCGATGCCCAGGTAAGGCTGCCCTTTTCCTTCAGCCATTTAATGGTGTATGATGGGACATGCCTGCTGCTTTAGCAGGAAAGTTTTTCAAAACTGTTTTTAGTTGTTTAATCCGCTTTCAACTTTGTGTATTAGAATATTAGGTTATATTTTATTGTACTAGTATGTTACTAGTATCTATTTTTATTGCTGTACTTGTGTTGTTAATTGCTGAGAAAGGCCCAGAGAGCTTTGGCTATTGAGCAGAACAGAAAAGATAACAATCAAGATGGCAGGTAGATGCCACCATTCCAACTGAGCTGGTAGTTCCATCTAGGGGAACCAGTAAGGTGTAGTGCTTCGCCTTGGGCAGGGACTGCGCAGACCCTGGTTCTAGTCCCCCACATGGCCACGAAGCTCATTTGACGACTTGCAGCCACTCACCAACTCTCAGCCTAATCTATCTCACAGGCTTGTTGTAGGATAAAATGGAGAGGAGGCCCATGCAAGCCTTGGAGGAGGGAAAAAGGGCGGGAAATAAATGTTACGATAAAGAAATACAAGCGGTGACAAGAATTGACCTATCCTTCTGGTCTGCGGGGAGAAGCCGGCGCTCACCTGGCACAGGAGGTTCTGCAGGTGGCTGGCGCAGGCGGCGTAGCTGGCGCGGTCGAGGTGCCCGGAGACGCCGTAGTAGCGCTGCAGCAGGGCGGCGTCGCGTTCGGCGTCGCAGCAGCCGAAGTCCGAGTACTCCACGCAGAAGGTGAGGGGCCGCGGCGGCCGGAAGGGCGGCTTGAAGTCCAGGCACTGCGGGTGGCTCCACGCCGGCCCCAGCCAGAGCAGTGCGGGAAGCAAGGCGAGGAGGGACCAAGCGCGGCAGCCAGAGACGCGCGCCATGCTTGCTTTCCTGCCTTGGCGCAGCCGCGCCCGTGCGTCGGCTGCTGGAGGGCGCAGGGAAGCGCTAGCGCCGAAGCGCGCCCTTGGGCATGACTCTCTGCAGCCCCAGTTTCCCGGGCCCTCCGCCTAGCGCTCCGTTACCTTCCGTGCCACAACGCCCTTGGTCCCCGCGAGGGCCCTTCTGGCGGCGCGGGGAGCGCGGGCAGATCCTCCGGTGGCGGCAAAGCGAGCGGATGCGCCCCTAGGCGCAGCGCCAGGGCTGCGCGCTTCTCCTCTGCGATCAAGTGTGGGGCGGAGGAGGACGGCGACGGACCAGGATTTCTACCGCGACGGTGGGCGAGGGAGGCGACTCGCCCTGTCCCCGGCGCATCCCCGGCCGTCCCGGACTTAACTTTCCGAAGCGCCTCGGTTGGACCCGAAAAGAGGGAAGGAAAGTGGAACAGGCGCCGCCTTCCCCCAGCTCGGGGCGTGTAAACAGTCGCTGGAGCGGCGCCCGCCAAAGCGTCCCTCCGCGCCAGGGAAGGAGGCACGTGCTCAGGCAGCCGCCAACTCTCGTGAAGGAACGAGCGGCGGAACAGCCTGGCCGCTCTCCGCGCTCCAACGAGGCGCGGTGGGTGGCCATAAGCGGCACCAGGCGGGGAGATTAAAGGGTCAAGAATTTCCCCCAGTATATTTTCCGAACATGCGGGACATCGCACGCCCCCCCCCCCGAAAAGCACTTGGCCCTTCTCTCTCCCGTCACTTTTGCTAAAATGGAAAGGCGCGCTCTTGCAGCAGGAAGGGTGACCACACGTGGAAGCCGAGTAGCGGATTGACCTGGCTGGCCTTACAGGCCCCTTCCAACTCTGCTACTACAATTCTGCTCTCTCTCATCTTTCTCTTCCCTTCCGCATTCTGAAATGCACTTTCCCCCACAGCCCTAAAACGTACTTGACTTCTCTTTCTTTCTTTCTTTCTTTCATACAAAGGCACACTTAAAGCATTTCTGTCTCTTGTTTCCATGGTGCACAGTCCAGGAGAATTGCTTGGGTGGGGGTAGCAACCTCAAATCTATTTTCCAGAACGTTCCATTGAAACCAATAGAAGAATAACTCCCTGCTTAATTGCCATGCGACAGGCAAATTTCTATTTTCCTAGAGAGGAAAGAGTTATTCCTCTCCCCCCCCCATGCTCATTAAGATTAGGGCGCGATCCTATGAAGGTTTAGACGCCAGGCTGGGGGACTTTTTCCCCATCTAAACCTGCATAGGATCAGGCCATTAGAAAAATAACTTCTTGTGATAGTGCAAGCTCTTCTAAACTTAATGATATGAATTACATTTCTCTAATCTAAAAGACAAAACAAATAGAAAGGATCGGAGGGAGGAGGAAAACAGCAAGTTCAGGCATTGAGTCTTTGTTGTAAAGTCTAGCTGGTCATGGAGGCCTCAGGCTTCAGCAACCTGGTTTTTAGAATTTAAATCTGGTATAAAGAATTTAAAGTGCAAAATACGTTTAAAAGTAATTATAATATTAAGCATACCAACGAGGCCTAATGAAGAAGACTAGCTTCACAAGTAAAGTTTGATTCTATGGGCCCAGTTTGAGCCAGAGAATATTTCAAGAAGTGGCTTTTAGTTAGTAGGTTGACCTTCAAAAAGAAAGATGCTTGCACTTGCACTCGGGCAGTTGATAACAGCAGGGAACATCCACAGATGCCTAGGACATTTGAGGGCTTTCTGAAGAAATCTGGAAAGACATCAGCAGTGACACTAAAACAGATGGACTGTACGCAATTTTAGAGTAAGGATTATGGTAGCTGTTCTAGCAGACCACCTTGTGATCAGCTGTCAGCAAGTCTAGAGCATAAAATGCCCAAATGTGGCAATAGGTATAATATGGGCATAGGACTAAGTATTTAAAAGGCTGGGAGGAGGTTGCTTTATGGATGAGTCCTGGCCTTTTGTCAAGCTTCTAGGAGCATCTCTTCTTTGTTAAATTGGGCCTAAGGGGAAAAGATGCTGCTTTGGGAAGATTTTATGTAGGTATGTCCAAGAAATCCACAACAGATGCAGATTAGAGGTTCCTATGAATCCAACCTTTAGATTTAGCAGTGGACTCAATTTTTCCAAGTCCAGTGATCTGGGTTCTAGTCCGCACTCAGCGAACCTACCTCAAAGGGTTGTTGTTGGAGTAAGATTGCAAGAAGAAGCACTGAGTGCTTTGTAAGAAAAAGGGATATCAATCTAAAATAAGTCATGCGCCAATTCTTCACTTCTGCTGGGGGAAGAATTTGTGCTAATTCACATTAAATTTATTCAAGTGGCATTAATGCTTTTTTGTACATGTGCAAATTCATTCATCTGTTTTTGTTTTTTAAATCACTGAACCAGACCTTCAGTTAATGGATAGTTTAGAAATGTAATAAATAGCACTATTTGACACTTAACTAGCACTATTTGACACTTAACTAATGCAGATTTGCACCAGTGGGTATTAGCACAAGTGGAAAGGTTTAAAAAATCTGAATTTGTCAATGAATGCATGATGGCCCAGAATCCATGAAATATGTGTGCCTATTGCTTTCCTTAATAAAATATCTCCCTATTTCAGAGTTGTCTGTATGATACATGACTTTCCTGAACCATAGGATAAAATGCATTCCTCTGAACTCAAGGATGATAGGGAATAACAGCCTATCACTAATAAACATGATTAATTAGATTTGTCTTTAAATTCCCACCTTCGACTGACTTAGATAGATTAGGATACCAATATGTCTGGAACTATGAAGTATCCCTATTAATTGTGACATTTTAGCAGTGGTACAAGAAGGCTAAATGGAAAAGGAGGGAATTACACTTCTCATCTCTGCAGTCAAAATGTAACAAAAGGGATGTTTGGGAATTTTCAAATGTCAAAAGAATCATAGATACATTCTCTGATCAAATGCAGTATAAGCTACAGTTATTGGTTTCCATTGTCAATGACTTAAAATGGACCAATCATTTTAGGCCCTGTGATAGGGACCAGCAGATGTATCTAGACCGGAGGTGTAGTACCTCTGGACCCTGGAGGTTTCCTCACATGGCCATGCCTCTTTCCCTCAACAACGAATTGTTTGGTGATTTTATGGCTTTGATGCAGTATTTCCAAATTCTGAAATGCTGAAATGGCTTTCTTAAGGCTTTGGTACTGGCAATAAGGGCTTTAAGTTAAATATCCTGGTGTTTTTGGCCATGCCAACCCTGGAATGTGGTTCCCCTTCTCAGCATAAATATAATAATACAATCTTGAATTGTATACCAAGTTTAGCTATATGGAGAAACCCATGGATAAGAGTCACAGATGCGGTGTATCGGAACCTAAAAGCTTCAAGGGAACCTTTTGTTCTAGGATACTAAAGGATACTCTAGGATCTAAGAACCCGGCTGTACAAGACCAAAGTTGGTTTCCATGCCACCATCTAGACCATGGGTCCTCAAACTATGGCCCGGGGGCCAGATCTGGCACGCCATGCTCATTTGGACCCACCCCACGCACACACGCGCCCACCTGTGGGGAGGCAGCGGTTTGCTCACTTGGAGAAAAAGATCTCCAAAGCAAGCAAGCCGCTGGCTTGTGTGCTCGCCTTGCGGCGCATGCCCGGCCCCACCTCAGCGCGCGCCCCCACGCCAGCCCGCATGCACTGCCGGCACCACCTTTCCGGCCTGTGCCCAGCACAGGCAGCTTTAAACTGGCCCCCTGGTGGAAAAGTTTGAGGACCTCTGATCTTGACAATTGTAAGAGCGCCCCTTCCTTCCCTATGTTTTGCACTGGTTTTCTTACAGAAAAAAAAACTAGACACTTTGGAGAATTTTTACATTAAGAATTAAAGTCAAGTGCGAAAATGCATGTCAGGTGCTTCTATTATTATGCCTTTATAGAAAGATGAAGAACCTTTGATACCTTTCAAAAGATGAAAAATGGAAAATATGTCAAATAAGTTAAAACCTGCACAAAAGCTTCCCTCAACTATATCATGACAAATGGAGATTCTTACTGAAATTGCACATGTGTCTGAATTAGAAACAAAGAAAAGCCTTAACAAAGCTTGGATTTGATGTGCACTTTGTGGGTTTACAAGTTGCTATAATAGTACTGCACAATGGATGACATTATCATAGCAAACAAAGTGCAAGCCAGTTCAAAAAATGTGTTTGGAATTATGTTAATTCAAGTCATGTTTTCTGAAGGAAAAACTAAATGAGCTTAAACCAAGTTGATCCAAAGTTTTTTTCAGAGGTACAGCTGTATTAGTTTAGCTTCTCTGTGGCTTCCCTAAGGTAGCTTCCTATGTGGAGATGCTAAAGTGGTACCCGAGTCTTTCCTGCAGCAGCGTGCCTGTGATTACCCACATCTTCCCTGCACAAACGGAACTGTGATTGTGGCCATCTCGTCACTCGGGGGGATGGGGAGGTGGCCACGATCGCAGTTGCTTTCATGCAGGGAAGGAGTGCGTGATCACAGGCGTGCTCCTGCAGGAAAGATGGGTGCAATCCTGGCCATCTCCCCCCCGGCTGAACTTGCTTGCTTGGAGTTAGTTTTGGATTCACTGGGAGATTCTGAACTTTTCTTCGTGAGACTGCTAATTGCTGTATCAGCTTTCATTTTTTTCCAAACTGAGACCCAAGTTCCACACAAAGAGCTGAGCCTTGCCTAAGTGATGCTGTGCTATAGCAGAGCAACAGAAACTTGCTGCTTCTTTCTGTTTAAGAAATAATAGGCCATTTCCTCTGCTCTTTAAAAAAACAAATGAAACTGGAGAGTCACATCATTTAAACAACCTGTCAACAACCATGAATCAGGAATCACAAGTGGGGAAAAACTAAATGGGCTAGGAGCAGCTTTAGTGCTGCCAGCAAAGTGCCCACCTAGCAGCACATGAAGGAGAAGGTTCTGTAAGCACCTGTCTACATCTGCAGCTGGCTGACAGCCAGGGCAAGGTGGACCCTCCAGTTCCTACATAAATTCTTGGTCTG